CAAATGAGCTTTGTTACTTGTACTCATGCTTAATTCATATCCTTTGAGTACATTGTGTTGGCTTGGGTCATATAAGCTTGCCTAACTCTTTTGTTCTTAACGACAAAAGCTTATATGAACCAAGCCCTTCAAAAACCTCACTCTTTAACGTACTCGAGGTGGTATTGTCATCAATCACCAAAAAGGGGGAGATTGAAAGCATCTAGGCCCCTAAGTGGATTTCGGTGATTAATGTCAATACAAGATTACTATGACTAACGTATGTTTTGTAGAGGAAATTAAGTTAGGTCATGGTAATGGAGATCGATTGGGCAATTGAGGTTGTCATGCCCCTACGATGGAAATCGTTTCGGTTTTCAAAGGATGGACGACAAGGTTAAGGATAACTAGTTCTAAGTGTCAATTGAAGTTGGAGAGACACTTAGAGTAGTTTAGGACTTTGTTTTTTTCCTTTGACCGTACTATGAAGGGGGGTATGAACGGGTAGCTTGACCTAGTTGAGTCTAGTGAGTTAGGTGTGGTGCACACTTATTAAAACTAGCTCTAGGTAGCTCCTATGAATGCCTAAGATCCTTTGGAGCTAACTTCATTCACATATGATCGAGAGTTGGAAGTGAATGGAGGGTCAAATACCGACCGGACGCTGGCCGCAGGGTCCGGTCAGTTCATTTGACTGTGGAGAACAAGTCTGGAGTGACCGGACGCTGGAAGGTCATATGACCGGACGCTGAAGGCCAGCGTCTGGTCGACTCCAGTAAGGGTCCAGATTTGAGAAAGTGTGACCGGACGCGTCCGGTCAGTGGTGACCGGACCCTGAGTATCCAGCGTCCGGTCGTTTACAGTAAGCATCCAAGATCGACCGGATGCGTCCGGTCAGTGCTGACCGGACCCTGTCAGCGTCCGGTCATCACTTGGAAACTGTTGCGTGGGTTGAACTGACCGGAGCGTCCGGTCAATATGATAGGAGCGTCCGGTCATCCCGCAGAAGCTCATAACGGTTCGTTTTTCAGGCTGCCTTATAAATAGAAGCTCCACTCGTGTGTGGAGTCACTTTTGCTCATTCCAACAGCTGAGAAACACGTTTGTGAGTGCCAAGAAGAGCAAGGTCCTAGTGAGGTGTTTGTGATTTGAGAATCCAAGAGTGAAACCTCATTAGTGAATCAAGAGTAGACAAGTGTGCATCCATCTTCTCATTAAGCTTCGTGTGGTCAAGCGGAGCTTGTGGGTGACCCAACTCAAGTTGTGAGCGGTTTTAGGTGATTCGCCGCGACGGAGTGTCGAAGAATCAACCCGTAGAGAGCACTTGATCCTTGCGCGGATCAAGGGGGAGCTACACCCTTGCGCGGGTGCTCCAACGAGGACTAGTGGGGAGTGACGACTCTCCGATACCTCGGCAAAATATCGCCGCGTTCCTTTCTCTCTCTATTTACTTTGAGCACTTACTTTGAGTATTTACTTTGAGCAATTCAACACTTGTTTCACATCCATAGAATTGCTTGCTAGAGTAAGTTTGGAACATAGGTTGCGAGGTTGTTGTGCATTAGTTTGACATAAACACTTTTCTAGGCACAAGGGGTTAATTGGGCTATCCGTAGGATTTGATTATTGTAAGAAAATTTAGAATTAGCCCAATTCACCCCCCCCCCCTCTTGGGCATCTTGATCCTTTCAGTGATTACAAAGAATGGTTAGCTAATGAACCAATCATGACTGCTAATAAGGAACATACATAAGGATTCACTATTAGTAATGTTTTTTGTAAAAAGAAAACCCAGCAAACCATAAAGCTTATCATATCCTTTGGAGTCGGGAAGTTATTCCCACTAGTCGGGTAAGTCTTGCGAGTACATTGTATACTCTGGGTTTATTTACCCCTGTTGCAGGTGCAGCTTCAGGAGTGGCTGTTGTGTGGAGGATTCTTATGGTGGACACAGATGGATCCTTGTATCTTATCGTTAGATGTTTATTTCAATTCCGCTGTTTAAATTCTATACTCTGAACTTGGTATTGTAATAATGTATTTTCGAGAACTCTTGTCGTATGAAATGGACTAAGTATTATACGCTCGTTTCATTATTTGATCCTGGATGAAAAACGTGGAATATTCGAGTTCTTTCTTGGGGTGTGATCGACGGAACCGTCCGATGTAGCCAACTTTCGGGGTGCTTAGTGTCTGGTGGAAGACGAGCGCCCCCGAAAGCGTGCTATTTCGGACGATTGTGCCACAAATATCTTCATTCATCATTAAAGAAGCTTATTTTTTATTTTTTAAATTGGCAACTATGTTGCTTTTATGGGTCCTATTCTTTGATCCATTGTAGATCTCTTGCTTCTCACGAGACTTCAAAAAAACAAGCATCTTCCCCAATCTAAAGTGGTTGAAAGTATTGGATCAAAGATAAGGGAAAGAATGATGACTTTTTAATATGCAATCTGCTTACATCCCTAAGGAGATACAAATACCTCAGGTCACATCAAACGGGGAGGAAGTCGGCACTCGAAATGGTTCACATCTTGTACTTAATAATTCATTATTTCCCTTTTTCTATCTTTGATTTTATTGGTATTGAGATAACTTTTACACACATCACCATGTTTCACGTTGAAACTGATACTAAGCAAAATCTCTAATATTCTGCTAAAAGAAAGATTGAAATTGTCTCTAGTTATCCCACTTTCTATTAATACTATAGTGTAAAGGAATTTTAATTAGGAAAAACATATATTTTCTTGCTTATAGTTTTCTCAAATGAATGATGGAGTTACTTGGTTTTTTTTCTTCTAATGCTTTTTGTGATAGACCACTGTAACCTTTAAACGAATATATTGGGGAGGCATTTCTCAATGTTGATACTATTCCAAAATTATATTATTACTTATGAAAAAGGCATATCTCTTTTATATCTAGAGCATGAGACAAAAGAGGATGTCATACCACTGTCCGTTTGATCATATCAGTCATGCTTATCAGCCATGATACAATGTTTTTCTCTCACAATAAAACAGCATCAACCAGCTTATAAGCCACATAAACGATCTAAGTGAACAGGGTGCATGTGGATTGTGAAAAAAGCATGACCCATATTGCACCAAACATGTAGCTTCTAGAAGAGGTATTGTCTAAGGAAGTAAAACTGTCATCAATAAAGTGACTTTGGACTATTGGCTCATATCAACTAGCGTCGATTTACTCTATGACCACAATATTAATAGCATTGATATGAACATTCGAAACTTAATGTTCTTGGGTTAATTTTGGTGTAGCATATCTCTAGTGGATGATTTATTTCTTTCTCAAATAAGAGATACATGACTTCTCTAATATATCTTTTCTCAGCCACCTTCCTAAATGGAAATAGAATTGTAAGTTTTTCGACCTACATTTTGGACTCCGTTATGAACACTAGAATGGTGCATGCTTATAGGAGAATAGCAATACAAATAGGGGACATCCGTTTCCCATATATGGCTCCTTGCTTTGGAAGAACCTTTTCTCCTTTGCATATGGCAAAACAAAGCAACATAGAAAGAAGCAATTGACTGGCCTCGTTCGCTTCGCTGAAAAAACAAGCTGAAACACTGTTTCGGCTGATTTGTTGCGAGAGAAAAACATTGTCTCGGTTGAAAAAACAAGCTGAAAAGTACGGATTATAAGAGAAGCGAACAGGGTCACGGCGGCAACGGCCAGCACCCCTCCATGACATGTTCCTTTTAGTTACACTAGATCCAAAACTTAATCATTATTTTTATTATACAATTGTTTGTTGTACACTCTTTGTAGGGCGTTTCCTTGAGTACATGACAATAAAATCAACGTGTAAAGAAGCGATCGACAAAAGAAAATTTGGATTGTCTATAAGAAAACCAAACGGCACTGTGCTTTGCCATGTAAAGTTAAAATCTTCATGATAGAAATGTCCAAACTCAATTACACTAGATCCATAATCCAGTAAGCATAGTCATCTGGTTTTCCCCTTTGTGAGCTAGAAAGCTAATCATCTCTTTAATGCTGCTAAACCCTGTACTGATGGTGTGATCTCCTGATGAGTCTAAAAATACCAGCCAGGGTTTTGAGGTAACCTGGTGGGCAACCGTCACGCGCTCCGGCTGACGTGGTGGCTGGGGGCCCACGCCATCGCCATCGAATCCCACCCGTCCGTCAAGAATCCCGTGGTCAACATCCTTTCTTCTTCCCCCAAGCCAAGTTGCGTCCGACCCCACACGTCAGTGAGTCACACGGTCTGGTTCGGTAGCCCGGAGCGGACAGTGCCCAGTTGTTGCCAAGTTTGGAGCAGTAATCGCCGTCCACTTCTGCAGTGATCAGATAACGGTCGTCAGCTAAACAAGGCCTGTAGCTTGGCTTATCTGGACTGCGGGGATGGATGAAGTGGCATGGTATCCACCGTGGCCCACCCGTCAGTCTCCGAGTGACGTGGTGCCTGCTACTGCTAGTGCTTTCCTATGGACTATGGTGGGAGGGCGTATGTATCTCAAGTTCTCAACGCTTGCTTGTAGCAGTGAGTGCAGGTCTGCAGGAGATGAACGTGAGCGCTTATGCAAATCCACCATGAAACTTCGAGTTAATCACACACTATGCCACTGCATTGGGATTACGGAAATGCCCATCAGCGTTGGCGATTACCACAGGCGTGCCACTGCCTCGCAGGTGCACTCCTGTGCGGGAGTAGAGGTGGCAGAGGCGAGAATAGGTGCGGAGAGTGGAGGGCATTGCCGGTAGAGTGGAAACGATAAAGCCTCGGCCCTTCTTCAGGCTCTGCTCCTTCTCCTCGCCATTGCTGTGCGCACTCCGGCTCTCCGCTCCTCTCTGTTCTGTCCTCGCCGTCAGATTTCGCAAGAACCTTCCTTCCCTGCGATCTCTTGTCGGCTTGGTCGGCCGAGATGGTTGATCTGTAGAGCGAGACGCCGAGCCCGGAGAGAGGAAGGAGTGCACCGGCGATTTTAGAACCAGCACCGGGCGGAGGAGTAGAGGACGCCGATTCGATGCGCGGCTCCGCGGACGCCGTCGCGGTTGCTCGGGACGTGGCCTCGTCGAGCCCGTCGAAGCCCGCGTCGGCATTGGACATGATGAGGTACGCGAATCCACCCCCAATCCCGTTCGCCTGCCGCTGCCGATGCAGCTGCAGCGGCGATGTGTTCGGCGTTTCCTGGTGTTCTCGTACGTACGGCGTGTCTTTCCTGGGATCGAAGCCGCGAATTTGCGTTCTCGTTTCCGCCGTCAGTGTTTGTTGGTGCGGCGTTCCGGCTCCTGCCGGGCTGATTTGAGAAGTTTCTCCTTTTCGTGCCGTGTTCGCGGTCCTTCTCTGCTCTGTGCCGCCGCCCGCCTTCTCTTCGAGGCGCGGTTTGATCTGCGGGCCACTTGTTCTCGCGTCTCGCAGCTTGTGTTTCGCCAATCTGTTCTGGTTCTTCGCTGGTCTCCGTTCGGTTAGCATATATTGCAGGTTTTCGTTCTGAATTATCCGCTCGGCTTTCTGGAATGATTATCTCTCTGCACAGATCTCTGAACCGCTCGTGTAGCGTGGAGTCGTGCGAAAATCAGAACGCTCGCAAACCGCACGACTCCACGCTACACGAGCGGTTTGCGAGCGTTCTGATTTTTGCGGTTCCGAATTCACGCAGGGAGACGAGATTTTGCACTTCCTTTCATCCATTGCTCCAAGTGCTGGACCTTACTCTTGCTCGATCCAGTCGCTGACTCGAATTCCGTTTGATTGATTCCGCTGCAGATACCCGAGGCCGAGCTCAGACGGCCTCCCGCTGCCCAATGGCATCGGCAGCAGCGGCGCCAGCAAGAAGCCTGCAGCGCCAACGCCGGTGCCGGCGCCGCCGGCCCCCAGATCGAGCAAGGATGACGTGGCGCCGCCGGCCGTCGCCACCGACAGCTCCCGCCTGGCGGCGTTCCTGGCCACGACGTCGCTCGAGCCCAAGCCGCGCCCTCGCGCGCCGCAGACGCAGGCGCAGGCCGCGCCTACCTCGGCGCCCACCTCTGCCGCCGCCGCCGCGGCGACCAAGAGCCCCGCGCGCGACCACGGCCACGGCGGCAACGGCCAGCACCCCTCCTCCGACAACTCCGACCCCGCCTCGCCGAGCTCCACCGGAGCAGGCGAATTGCTGCTCCAGTGGGGACAGAACAAGCGCATGCGGTGCCGCCGCGACTCCGCGTCCGCGTCGCCGCAGCGCCGGCAGGCGGGCGGCGGCAAGATCCAGCGCCGCTCGTCGTCTCCGGCGGCGGACAAGCTGATGCCGCCCCCGAGCGCCGCGCCCTACACCCGCGCGTCCAACCTCCGCTCCGCCTCGCCTCTCCCTCCGCGCTCGGCTTCGGGCTCCGGCTCCTCTGGCGACGCGCACCACGCCCGCCCCCACCACCCCTTCAGGTATGGCCGCCGTCTTTACACCCACGCCCACCTCTCCTCTACCTCTAGGCGTCTTTCACTTCGTTTTCTTGCGCTGCTCTCCCCGTTTTTCTCTTCCGCTTTTACCCCCGCCACCGAGCCGTATTCTCTGTCCCGTGCCGTCGCGGTCGTACTCGTCTACGTGGTGGCGTTGGGCTCGGCCCCCTGGTTCGATCGCGCCGGTTCGTCTTGTCCCGGTGAGCTGTCACGCTGCTCTCCGTGTTTAGGCAAGGAAGGTGCGTTCGGATGATACGATATATATGAGTACCATGCCATTCCATTCCTTCTCTCCTCACTGTTTTTTTTTGTTTCCTTTCTTTTCGTTTGTTTATTTAAAATTCAAGTGGGTTTTGGCGTGTTTTCCCATGCTAGTTTGAGATTTCGATTTCATTTTTTAATGAGGGGGTTCCGATTTTATTTTATTTTATATGATGAGGGTTGAGGAGGTTTAGATTTGAATCGGATCACCAAACTTATCGATGATTCCTGCTCCTTGCCTTTTTCAGACCTGCCCGTCCTTCACAGATTTCCCCTGTCTCCGGTTCAAAAACCAAATCTTTTTGCAGTGATGTTTTAGATCTTTTCGGCCAACGTATGGCGTGGGTCAAAGGAGCGGCACTTCACCCTTGGGTCTTCACTAACCTGCTGCAGTGGCAGCCAGCAAATCCACCATCCGTCCATCTAATCCCCCAAGCCATCTGTCATCCGGTCATCCCCTTCCCCTAGCTTGCCGAGGTCCATTAATGGCCGGCCGGGCCTCCTTCCTTCCCAGTTCCCTGCCGTTTTCCGGCTGCGTTTGGCTTGTCCGCTTGTGTGAATGGTGAACAAGACAGTGACATCATCACAGCAGGCGAGGCGAAGGGGCTAATACAGTAGGACTTGATGCGAGCCGTGTATAAATCCTGGGTGCATCCAACGCTCCACGCCGCCCGTCCCCACATTTTTTTTATGTGGGCATCCGCAGCGGCAGCAGCTTTTGTTGCCGGCGCCCAGCTTTGCTCTCCGCGCCGCATCAGAACCCCACCATTCCCTGGTCGCTGTTACCGAACCGGAGCCCCGCCGCCGCTTTAACCCCAACCACCGTGCTGGGCCAGCCGATCGCCGTCGGGATTACTAGTTGGTTATTAGTTTGTTGGTTTGTTTGGTTGCCGGGTTCTAATGCTACGGCGGCGATGATGATGACCAGATCGGCGGAGGACCGTGCCGCGGGGAAGTTCTCGGCGGCGGCGGTGGCAGCGGCGAGGGCCGAGAAGCAGCGTGCGGTGTCGCCGCACAAGGTAGGCCCGGGCTCCGTGATGGGCCTGGGCGTCCCGGACCCGAAGCCGCAGCAGCAGTACAACCAGGGCGGCAGCGGCAGTGGCAGTGGCCAGCAGGCCGGTGCGGCGGCGGGGGCGTCGTCGAAGCCGGCACCGAAGCTGGAGGTGCCGCGGATCTACACCACGCTGTCCCGGAAGGAGAAGGAGGATGACTTCATGGCCATGAAGGGCACCAAGCTGCCGCAGCGCCCCAAGCGGCGGCCCAAGAACGTCGAGAAGACCATCAATGTGCGTGCCTTTCCCCCCCTCTTTCTCCATTAGCCGCTGCTAAAGTTATTATTACCGGATGTCGAGACTTGTAATCCATGGATTAGTGTTAAGCTGACATGATCTCGTGCATGTCTTGTCTTGCGCAGGCGATCTGCCCCGGGATGTGGCTGACGGATGTGATCAGGAGCAGGTACGAGGTGCGCGAGAAGAAGTGCCCCAAGAAGGTACCCACCATAGTACTCCATCTCTCTCTTTTCTCTATCTTCATCGTCGCGTCGGAAATGCTCTCGGCCGGTTATATTTGATTACTGCTAGTCACCGCCGTTAATTTGAGATTAGGCCGACACATCAGTTAGTTATTAGAGATGTTTGGAAAAAGCAATAAAAGATGGGGGGGGCTTGGCGACGAACAACAGGCCGAAAGAGGGGTGGGAGGGAAAATGGGTGTGCGTACCCTCTTTCTCCTGTTCCCTTCTTATGTCACGTGGGGCCCACTTCCCGTGCACCGTGAGCGCGAGAGGGAAGTGCCCTTCTCTCTGCCTGTGCTCATTGATGGCCGCGCTATCCACATCGCGCGCTGGCTTTATTGCCGAAGCCGACGGACGCGCACTGCAGCGGCGCGGGGCGGCACCTGCGCCTGCGCGACCGCCCGGTCTCCAAGGCTGGATCTCCCCATACAGCCATGCCATGGAGGCCCACATGCCAGCGTCCCGAGTAGTGGATGGACGATGGAGCGCGAGTTGGCTATAGGAGTTCCTGACGTGTGGGCCCCCTGGCCACGCTGGCGGGAACTGGATACGAGTCAGCAGCAGGGGCATACTACGTGGGTGGTGGGTCCCCGTGATAAGAAGCAGAGGAGGATACTGGATAGGGTGGATATGGGTCTGGAAATGGAATAGCCCACACGGCATCCAGAATACCCCCCCTGCCTTTTGCTTTGACTTGGGGGAGCCTGCCGCTTCTAATGCTTCTGTAATCTGTAGCAGCAAGACAGCAAGTGGAAGAGTACTTGTACTACTAAGGTAGATTCGCACACGTAGCTTAATGCGAAACCCATCATTAGTTGACTTCCCTAATGAGGCCCTGTCGTCGTCGTCGGTCGTCCTGACCTTACGGGAAATCTCACAATTTTTTTGAATCTCTCTTTGTTCAGCAACAGAAGAACCGGGGGCTCAAGGGGATGGAGTTGGAGAGCAGCGACTCCGACTGACCGCCCGACGACAGCCTACGTTGCCAGGCCGAAGGGCGGTGGCAGCAGCAACGGCGGAAGAGGAAGAAGGGTCGGCGACAGTGACGGGAGACGAGGGAGCGTGTCAATTGCCACGCGCTCTTGGACATGGTCGCGCTGGGTTGAGGGAAGCCAAAGAAAAAAAAAAGGTTGGATTCAGGGAAAAAAACAGGAAAAAAAAACTTTTCTTTTTTCGAGCTAATCATAGCGGCACCGTGCTACTATATATACCTCGATTCCATTTTGTATATCTGGGTGGCAAGGATATCGTAGCCGGCGTCTTTCTTTTATCTTTTTTGGGTCGACAATCGGTGGTTTGCCCGCTGCGTTTGTGGTGGGTTTGTGCATAGCGTCGGACAACTAGACTATCTCAGCAAGAGGAAACAACTAGACTTTTAGTTTTAGACTACCCCTCTCTCTCTCTATCTGCTCTGGTTAATTGTGCAGTGCTTAATGTTTACTCCTGTTCAGGTTCATGCTAGGTTAGACGGTCACTATTAGTTAAACCCCTCTGGTGTTTCAAAACATAAAAATAAAAACTTAAAGCGTTGAGCATTTGGACCGGAATTGTTTGGAGTCAGCTCTGCATCTGGTCTGCTGGGTTCAGACTTCAGAGCTTCAGGCAGTCCCCCGCTGCTGGTTGAAAATTTGTTTAATTTTTTTTAGTATCTTAACGACTTCAAATGAAAAAACTCAAAACTAGAAAGATGTAGATCCCAACGAGAGGTATAACTTTCATATAGAAAGCATCTCTATTTGACACCATATAAAAAAGATATGATTTTTCCAAGGCGACAAGCGATTGTACCCGATTAATATACAACTAAAACTTTGTTTAATTGTTTTAGGCATCTTAACGATCTCAAATGAAAAAACTCAAAACTATAGAGTTGTAGATCCTATCGAGAGCTACAACTTTCATATTGAAAGTATCTTCATTTGACACCATATAAAAAAGATATAATTTTTCCAATGCGACGAGCGATTGTACGCGATTAATATAGTGCTAAAACTTTATTTAATTTTTAAGTATTTTAACGACCTCAAATGAAAAAACTCAAAACAACAAAGCTATAGATCTCGTCTAGGGCTACAATTTTTATATAAAGATCATCTTCATCGGAGATCATATGAAAGAGATATTATTTTTTTAAGTTGCGTCTTGCCGCACCAGGCGCGGCGCTACAGTGCTGCCGCGCCGACGGGAGCGACACGGCGAGGTTTTTCACGTGAAAATGGTGGTTCACCGTGGCAAATCAGATTAGATTTAAAAATAAAAATGCAACTGTGGTAGATTTGGAATCTGTTTTTGAAAAAAGGTTAAAAGTAATAAAAAAAAAACTGCTGCTACCTGCCAATGCCAGGTGCCAATACTGCTACGGTGCTGGTACCTGCCTGATGGTGTTATTACAATATTACGTACAGCATCCAACAGGCGGCGTACAGTATCCAACAGTCGGCAGCCAATATGGCTCGAGTAGGACCAGGGCAATGGCATCTCTTCTGCTTCGGTTTCCCATCGGAGAAATGGGTATGACCAGTTGTTTACGGTTGGGTCATGTGGCGTGCTCAGTGATTACCAGGCCTGGATGCTCTCGCTAAGCTTCTCCAGTGGGGAAAACAAACCGACTCATCGTCCTACCTGTTATCAACATGAGTCGATTCAACGACTGGAGCATACCGAACCATAGATGGGAGACAGGAGAGTCGATGCAAAAGTTTGCATCGGTTCATCAGCAGGCATTAGCAATAAAAAATGATTTTTTGCAGTCCACCTGAGGGCCTGATGAGGCCATCTCCTCCCTCCATGTCTCTGCTCCATCGACTCACCACGGGAGGACTGTGAATTGATTGTTGGATGCAATCAATCATGACGTAGGTGGCACTCTCTCTTCTGAAGAAGTCGACTCACGACTGGAGCTGCCCTAAAACTCCCTGACTGCGAATGTAAAGGAGGCGAATCTCGAGAGAGAAGTTGTCATCTGAACCCATCGAGAGGACCAGACAAGGAACCAGGAACCACCCACGGTTACTTCCCATCGACGCCCGTGCTGTACCTGAGCCCAATTCCTCCGTTGTGTCGGTGGCTCGAATCGGTCGCTGGCGTAGCTTTGCAACGAAGGCACTAGGCATTCGCTGCAGACGACGCTACGATCGGAACAACAGGGCAGAGTTATTGGACTTGCAGCCTGATTTGGAACCGGCGTAGCGAAGCACGACGGCGGTACAGACTAGACCGAGACGGCAAGACCTTTTGTACGGAGTATGTATACTTGTGAAAAATAAAAATACTGATACACATACTCCTACACGGCACGGTCACGTACTCACGTACACGCTGCCACTGCACAGACCTGGAACGGGAGCGCGATAAGCCGAGAGGGTGGGGGAGGACCGGAGGAGGTAGTAGACTAGTAGTAGCAGCCGGGCGCTTGAGAACGTCTCACAGCGAAACAGAGTGCAGCCGGCGGGTGGAGGAGAACGCAGCCACCACAATGGCGGGCGCCGGGCGGGAAACAGAGGCGACGTCGGGCAGTGGCGACCTGGCGGGCGCCGCAGAAGTCTCGTGACCGACGGCCTGGCAGCGTCCGACGCCAGTTCGAGGCCGGCGCGCAGCGGGGGAACGATCGGGTGACGCAGATCCGAAATCACCGGCTGGAGTGGACCGTTGCAGGATAGAGGAAAGGCACTTCCCCCGCGACCAAATGGGAAAAAAATTGGACTTGGTTGCTTTACCCGGAGAGGCTGCACCGCCCAGCCCAAACCGCTTTTCACGGGCCCGCACGTCAGCGAGCCGCGATGTTGTCCACAGGACGGGACACGGCGGGCTGGCGGCGGCCACGAGGTCCGGCCCGGTCATAACCGTTAGGCACAGGGCATGCGGCGTGCAGGTACAATAGCCCCGCCCCCTGGCACCCGTGTCCACTTGCCCCTTGCGGCCTTGCCCGTGTCGTATCGGCAGCAGCAGGTCTGCAGTGAGTTGACACGCAAAGATCACGGTCAACACCCGTCAAAGGCCCCGCCCCCTGCCCGGCTGCCCTGGGCCTCCTTCCGGTGATCACGCTGCAACTCTCAAAATACTTCCTCCGTCAGAAGAACATAATTCTAACCTTAAACCTGAACACATGTGTCCATGTTTAAAATTAGAATTACGTTTTTTTTTCTGAAACGGAGGGAGTATAGGCGTACGTAGTAGCTCTATGGAGATCGCAGCGTGTGCGTGATCATGTGGTTCAGGTTAGTAGGTCCCCTGCTTGGCCTCGCGTAACGCCTTGGAAGCATTTGCCAATCGCCATCGCGTCACCAGTGGATCGGTCTCGGCGGGCCCTTGGCTCTTGGCTCCTGACATGGCGGGACGGCGAGCGAGGAGACGAGGATGATGGGAGAAGCCAGAAGGAAGCAGATGATCCCAGCTCGCCCGTCACGTTACGAGTACCGCCCCAGGGTCGTCAGAAGCTCGGTTCCAACGCCTGACCTCCGCGGCTCCGCAGGCGGCATGTAGAGTACTGCATTCGTTTCTCGATAAACGACTTTGATAAAATATATATTAAAAATATTAATATTTATGTATTGAAAAGATTTTTCAATCTAGTTTTTTAATAAATTTATTTGGAGATAAAAAAATTTCATGCATTTTTATACAAATTGAGTCAAACTTGTGGCACGAAAACAAAAAACGACGGATAATTTGGGAGAGAGGAGTATGTTTGAATTGCCATTGCCAGCAGCCGGCGGTCCCCCGTGCTGCACTCCAGGGTTTTCTGTTGCCATGCCGAGCGCTGATACGTCCATTCGTTTCGACGCTGTACCGTGCCACGGTCTCTCACTCTCTCTCGCAATGGAGCACTAGTAGTCTAGTACGGCGTTGCCGTTGATCTCGCATTGACGAGTTCGATTTACCGCGCGTCGGCCGTCGGGGAAGAGAAGGAACGGAGCGAGCCAGATCCAGGTTGTCCTAACTCTGCTGCGCTTTGTTTCAAACGGAGAAGAAAAGGAGAGGGCACGGGCTGACGGATGCACAGGTGGGCTGAACATCGTTTGGACACCACGACGTTATCCCATCACTCTTCAAATTCAGTTGATTTTCAAAACGATCATCTCATTCTTAAAAAAAAGACGACATTCTCACTCATTCATATACGTAGGAATGAAACAAAAAACTGTGGCTTACATACCACATACGGCAGTAGGTACTCCTTGTAACTGCTGAGCATAGCCACAAAGGACCCAGACCCCAGATAGTCTTCGGCATTCGTAACTGCGCTACGGAAAACAACTACGTAATCAGAGACCGTAACCACACCAGATGCAATTACAAGCGCACAGAACTTTGAAACTAATGCAGCTCAGAAGCAGCAGAACTTCCCTGATCCATTTTAGTCTGAAGACAGGACTAATGATGAGCAGAACAAAACTGCGGTTGGCAAAATCAACCCCACTTGAGTGGACTGTGGTCAGATTTACTAACCATACCCACATTCATGTATTATTTGCTCAACCATCTATGCAGAGAGAGATTTTCGGTGATTGCAATGGAGCCAATCCTGAAGGGAGATGGCCCATTCAACACTTTTACAGACGAAGCGACAAATCAAGATTGCAGTGATCACGGCCGATCACCAAAAAGAGAAAACTCATACAGCCTTTTTTTCCCCTCTAGCTCTAGGAGTATAGTTAGAGCTTTGTTAGGCTTCTGAAAGGAAGGAGTATGTCTTCATCCTAGCTTAGTTGCTGGCGGCACTATTTGAATCTGCAATGGCCTGGGGCTGCGATGCAGGTAGGTAAGACCAGGCAATGGCTGTGGCACCAAGGGTGACTGCAAGCCCAACTGAAACCCAGAACCACTTCTGCCGCTTCTTACACCCCTTGCGTTGTTGCCTTGACATCTCTGCAATCCACAAAAATAGAGCAAGTGTCAATATACCGGAATACAAAAGTATGCAGTACTTGCATCTTATATTTAATGTTTCTGATACAATCCAGACAGCATTTTCCCCTCAAGCACAAAGCAGCCAACCAAAAATAGGATGAATTGGTACCAAAGGCGATAAACATGTTTGATGTTAGTTTGAACCTAGAAAATAGATACAATATCGTTTGAATAATAATGTCAGTAGCTTTCTTCATGCACATGTCACTTAATTTATCAAACACGCAAAAACTATATTCAATCAGCATAGTGTTCTATAAGGAAAGGGTATCCGAAGGGAGGGTAGCACCTAGCACTAGCGCGCTGACTAGAAGGATTCATGCCTTTGGTTTTGTTTAAGGGATGTTCCACTAATTAAAGTACCAAAGGCTTTCATCGCCGACATCCCTACCTTAGATTCTTTACAAGCCATATAAGGGGAGTCACCGTTTCAACAAGTATTAATCACGGTCATTTTTGTAGATAGACAGAAATAACCACTGGTGGAGAAGTTAGTTACCGATAGCCTCTTGGTTTCTTTGAGACATTTCCCTGTTTGCAGCTTCATAGTACTGGACCCTATCCGACAGCCTTGCAATCTCAAAGTTCTTTGTCGCAATCATGGTCTCCATATCTGATTCAACTTCAGCACGAGCAAAACCCCGAGTAATAGCAGCAGCTACCAGTTGTGAAACCATTATTTGCTGGCACAACTCAGCTCCAGGATCCACGCTTGAACCATCAGAATCCTCAGCTATACTTGGAGATGGAAGTGATAAGTCAATAAGTGATAGGTGGTCACTCAGATTCTTCCATTCCTGTTGCCAGATCTCAAGTGCTTCTTCTGCTTGTGTCCTCCTCTCAATTTCCATCAACAGACTTAACCTCATTTCACGGAGGTCATCATCCATGACACGCGAAGACCGAGTTCCACCATCACTGGACATTTCTAAATTTTGGGAAATAATATTTGGTTAGCACACATATCAACCACTAGATCTGAATTAAGCAAGAGGAATTTCTCAACATAATGGAACAAATTAGCCAAAACTTATCACCATTTAACATTTAACATACCCTAAACAGTCCCATCACTTGGGGGACAAGAACTTAGCTCATGAAATTAGTCCTACTCCCTCCGTTTCAAATCACAAGACGTTTTCGCTTTTATAGATACATTGCTTTTACTATGTATCTAAACATAGTGTATAATCAAGTGCATGGCAAAAGCTATGTATCTAGAAAAAACAAAAGTCTTATAATTTCGAATGGAGGGAGTGCAACACAATTCAAAACAATCGCTCCTGTCAATAATCAGGCCCTAATAGGAGCAAGAAAATATAAATGGGAGTGACCACACATACTGAGCAAAAAGCTTGAAATTAACTGATGCCATGGGGAAATCACATCCAGGACAACTTTGGCATGTCTCTAACAGCATTTAGCTGTGAGCACTATTGTTCTACGCTAAAGAATATCAGAAAGGATTAACTTGTACAACGAATCACTTCAAAACACACTAACAAAACTTGCATCCAAAAGCAGAACATGATACATCCTACATCTTAGGATGGGACTGAAGACAAGGATTTTTTTTGTCCAACACAGTTGCTACATAATTTCGCTTGAACCTTTCAGCTGCTTTTTGATAGATATAAGCTATTGCTGTAGTGAACTACGAATAGTTTGCAGAGTGCATCTGCTGAAAGTGTCTTACAAAAACTATTAGACTCACTGGTAGGCTTATTTTCATTATTACTTTAATAGTATAATATCATCAAAACCTGGCAAAAATACAGATAATAAAGGAAAAATAACTTAACAAGTAAACTGTAACAAACTGATCTGTACCTTCAAATGCATCATAGAATTCTGCACCAGGTGTACCAACAGAGGTTCCAAGAGGAGAACTAGGCTTCCACCATTCAAAGATGTCACTCTCAGAATTTATGTGTGCCCCACCATTCAAAGGTCTTCCAACATTAACAGGCTTCACTAGTGCTTCAAGACTCCGCCACTGAAACTCAAACTCAGGCTGCTCATGCTCACTTTCAGCTACCACAGATTCCTTGCCCTTCTGTAACATTCCACTATTGTCATCCAAAGCCTCTTCCACACCACTGTCACCTTCAGCTTGACCATTGCCTCCTTGCTGAAACACAAACTCTGGGTCCTGGCCTTCAGTGGGTTCACCCCCTTTGGGTAAAGCAGGCAGCATCACAGGGAGCTTTGGCTGGCTGCCCTCACGCCCAGCATCACCCTGAGAGAAGGTCCTGGCAAGGGAGGCTCCCCGCCTCTTATGGTTGATGAGGTATGGCGACCAGGTTCCCGGGAACGAGGAAGGCGAGTCCGGCAGGGTGGTGCTCTCAGGCGTGGCATAGAGTGATGCCGGCGACGTCTGTGTCCTGACAGGACACACTGGCACCGGTGTGGCCTTGTCAGGAGGCGGCGGCGGAGGCTTGGGAACCACCTTCTGGACATGAGCAGGCGACCCTGTCTCAAGGAAGCGATCCAGCACGTAGTGCGTGATGGACGGCATGGGGATAGAACTGCACGAGGGGAATCACAGACGGCTTGACCTCCCTGGCATCAACGAGACCTGAATCGAAATTGACATGATAATTTCGAGGTTAGAATGGAGCAAATCCTGCTCGAAGAGGGGGGGGGGAAATATGCCACGGTAGAGGGATTCCGATCCAAAATATCCGGAAACATTCCCAGCGGGCCTATGACCTTATCCTTTTGGAAAAAGCCGCCGCGCACGAATCATTTCACCGAAAAAAAAAGAGAAAATGCTCAATATTCCTCACCCTGAGCTGGACATGCAGGGAAAACAACTAGTTGAACGCTGCAGAACATTTTTTTCGGACTTGCTGTAACGCTATGTATTTTTGCACATTTTTCCGTCATCACAAAAACCAGCCGCGGGCATCCTAGCAGCCGCCAGACGAACGAATTGAAACCCCTCGGACGCGAGATCGCTCACCCAACCCAACACAAACGTCGAAGGACGATAAGATTCTGTAGAGGTACCAGCACTCACCTGACGGGGTCCGGGTCCCGGAGGCGCGGCACCTCCACCGAGAACAGGGGAAACCCTAGCGGAGCCAGCTGCGCTCCACCTCCTTCCCAGGCCTCGAGGTCGAGGAAGAGAAGACGGCGTTGGCGTTTTTCCTGCGTTTCCTTTCCCACGGCCGGTCGGCCGCAGCAGCGCCTGTCGCGTTTGCGATTCGAATTTATGGGGCCGGGCCTCGGTAAAATAGAAGTAAGCGGCGCGAGGGGCGAGACGAACCTGGCTGGCGCAGCCGGCCGCGGAAGGCAACAAGCTGGGGCGGCACAAGCAGAGCGACAGGCCAAGGTGAGGATGGCGGCAGAGGCGGTCGAAGTGAGGATGACGGCGGAGGCGATCGAGGTGAGCAAAGGCGGTGGCGGCGCTCGGTAGCGTCACCCCTCGCCTCGCCCCGCACGGGGAAACAAAGGCCCGACCCTAGAGCGAGGTGTCAGATCGTGTTGCCTCCCGCGTGGGCTTCCAAAGGGTGGAGGAATTTGTCCTAGGCCGTAATTCCGCGATGGGCTTGCCCGGGGCAAAGGCCTTGACACCCCGTGGATTCAGCCTTCCAACGGAGCCCTGAATGGTGGCGGTAGGCTTCTGAATGGACCGCAATCGCTTCGCGCTCTTTGCGGGCTTGTCGATGGGTTATTAAGCGGGCCTAATCAACGCCCTTGCTTATATATTTTTTTAACAAAGATGGTGTACAGTATCGTTTCAAAAAAAAGTAGAAAAAAAGATACACTGAATTAGAGACAGGTGTGTAGCCCGCCTCCTCTGTTAGCGCCATTTTAACCGACACTGATAATAGTTGTTGTAGTCTGCAGACAGCAGTAAGCAACAATACTGAGGCCTTGTTTAGTTCCCGAAAAGTTTTCTAAAAAGTGTTACAGTAGCCATCACATCGAATCTTGCGCATAGAGCATTAAATGTAGACAAAAAAAAGTAATTGCACAGTTTGGTTGGAAATCGCGAGACGAACGTTTTGAGCCTAATTAGTCCATGATTGAACACTAATTGCTAAATAAAAATTACAGTAGCTAAATTTCCAAATTTCACGAACTAAATACAGCCTAAGATGGTGCTTTTTTGGGGCAGCCACAATCTGCAGACGGTTTATAAGGACGGTTTTTAGGATGTATTATGTATAGCAGACCACGGCTAGTGCAATTATGAACACGCGTCATGGCAACTAGAATGTACTTCCACAGTTACAAAAATTTTTAAAATTTAACTAGATTTGTAGAAAAAAACAACATTTATATCTTCAAATAAATTTATTATAAAAATAGATTCAACGATCTATCTAAAAATACTAATTATACATTATAAATATTAATATTTTATATAGATTTGGTCAAATTTAAAAGTGTTTGTTGCTCCGTTCGTTCCAAAATAGATGACTTTTTTAATTTTTAGATATCATGTTTGACCTTTTGTCTTATTCAATTTTTATGCAAAATAAATAAGTCATTATTAAAGTATCTGATGAAATAAGTTATAATAAAATAAATAATATTTATATAAAAAATTTATAAGACAAACAATCAAGATGTTTTAAAAGTCAAAACGACCTGTATTTACAAAGAGAATATTTATTTTAGGATGGCAAGCTCTCGATGGCAGCATCAGCCGCTGCTACTTTGTCCTGGTACACTTTATCTGGAAAGCGTTTTCTAGATAAGCTACATAAATAAAATAAAACCAATGGTTAAAATAAGTTGATCTGATCATAGCTTCCGTTTTTTATATAAATGGGAGCTGTGAACAAAATAAATTGCTGAAAAACATAGCGTTTGCCAATTGATTTTAGCTTTTTTTTTTCATAAGCGGCTTATAAGCTGTACCACACATGCCTTTTGACAGCTGACACAGTCTACTGTTTATATGCAATAAAAAAAAGCAGCAGCAGCCGCTGGCAAAACCAGCAGCCGAACCAGCGGCGGCGAACGTATGTACGGAGTAGAGACAGGTGTGTAGCCCGCCTCCTCTGCGCCATTTTAACCGACACTGATAATAGTTGTAGTCTGCGGACAGCAGTAAGCAACAATACTAACAGCGTGTTTAGTTGAGGGAAATTTGGAATTCGGGTTACTGTAGCACTTTTATTTTTATTTAGCAATTAGTGTTCAATCATGGACTAATTAGGCTCAAAACGTTTGTCTCGTAATTTTCAACCAAACTGTGCAATTAGTTTTTTTTCGTCTACATTTAATGCTCCATGCACGTATCGTAAGATTCGATGTGATAGATACTGGAGCACTTTTTGAGGAAATTTTTTTGAACTAAACACGGCGTAAGATGGTGCTTTTTTTTGGGGGGGGGGGGGGGGGGCAGCCACAATCTGCAGACGGTTTATAATGGCGGTTTTTAGGATGTATTATGTATAGCAGACCACGGCTAGTGCAATTATGAACACGCGTCATGGCAACTAGAATGCACTTCCTCCGTTACAAAACTTTTTAAAATTTGACTAGTAGGAAAAAAGCAACATTTATATATTCAAATAAATTTATTATAAAAAAAGATTCAACGATCTATCTAATGATACTAATTATGTATTATAAATATTAATATTTTATATAGATTTAGTCAAACTTAAAAGTGTTTGAATCGTCGGGAAGCGAGAACGACACTTGCTCCGTCCGTCCCAAAACAGATGACGTTTTTTACTTTTAGATATCATGTTTGACCTTTTATCTTATTCAGTTTTTATATAAAATAAATAAGTTATTATTAAAATATCTCTAATGATGAAATAAGTTATAACAAAATAAATAATATTTATATAAAAAAATTAAATAAGTCAAACAATCAAGATGTTTTAAAAGTCAAAACGACCTGTATTTACTACGAGAATATTTATTTTAGGATGGCAAGCTCTCGATGGCAGCAACAGCCGCTGCTACTTCTTTGGTCGTGTTTGGTACAGGTTATCTAGGAAGCGTTTCTTAGATAAGCTACATAAATAGAGTAAAAGCGACGATTAAATAAGCTGATCTAATTTAGTTTCTGCTTTTTAGTATAAATAGAAGCTATGGAATAAGCATGGCTAGAATAAGCTGCTGAAAAGCGTAGCGCTTGGCTGTTAATTTTAGCTTATTTTTACCATAAACAGCTTATAAGCTATACAAGCATACCCTTTGACAGCTGACACAGTCTACTGTTTATATGCAATAAAAAAAAGCGACAGCAGCCGCTGGCAAAACCAGCAGCCGAACCAGCGGCGGCGAACGTATGTACGGAGTATAGCAGCACCATGTGTTCAGGTGGCTGGTTCGTTTTGTCGCTGATTCGTAAAGAAGTATTGCTGGTTGATTTGTGTGAGAGAAAAATATTGTTTTAGCTAGAAATTTACAATCATTTACGATAAGCCACGGCCAAACAAATAGACTGATGGCCAGTGCAATGCACCTCGATGTGAGTGCGCAGCCTGTATCTATCTCCGTTTGGAACTGCGGTGGTGTTTAAATACATGAGTAAAGTTTAGAGATATCATATCGGATGTTATATAGGGTGTTATATAGGGTATTTGAATATTAATAAAATAATAAATTACATAATCTATTACTGATCTGCTTGACGAATTTATTAAAGCTGGTTAATCCTTTCGCAGTCAGCCTCCGCCTCCGGCGCTGGCAATATGCTCTTTTGCAGCTCAGCTCCCTCCCTCACTCCCTGCTGCCCATGTTCTCATGCGCTCGACGTCGCATTTAGATTGCAATTTTTTGCAATATGGACACTGTAGCACGTTTTATTTGTCTTTGACAAACTTTATTCGATCATGGACTAACTAGACTTAAAAAATTCGTCTCGTGATTTACAACAAAACTGTATAATTAGTTATTTTTTTATCTATATTTAATGTTTCATACGTGCGTCAAAAATTGAGGCAATCGGTTCAAGCACCCCACATGTGTATTTACCTCCGGCCCAACAGCATCTGCAGTGGTTGCATCGGTTCAAGAGGAGAGAGAGAGCAAAGTTGTCAGCACAGAGAAGTCAACTCAGCCAAAAGAAAGCACAGTGGGTCTCATGCGGTAATAAAAAAGCGTATTTCTCTCTCCACAGCCTAGCCTAGTGGCCTTGTTTTCTCACCGAGCCGATAGCAAAGTCTGTACTTTCCTCCTTTGAAACTGTTCTTTATTCAACAAGAGTCGACTAAAGCTCGCTTAGGCACGGCTCATCTAAAACGACTTCACCGATGAAGTTAAAGTCGGTGAAGTCAGAAAAATTGGTTTTTTCTGGCTTCTAGTTCATTTTAACTCCGGTTTACAAAATAGCTTCACGCTATAGTGCCTCGATTTGCACAAAATAGATGAAGCCGAAGCCGGCATAAGCCGTGCCAAAGAGGCCTTAACAATCAGACTGTTCGTTTAGCTGTGGCTTATCGTAAATTTCCAGCCATAACAGTATTTTTCTCTCACACAAACTAGCCAGCAGTATTTCTTTACGAATCAGCAACTAAACGAACCAGTCAACCAAACAGG